GAAAATGGATCGGGGGTGGAGGGCGCGGGAGAGATCGGGCGAAGAGAACTATGCACATGCACCGGTCCTGGCCAGGCCCATCCTTGGCCCCAGGATCGGTGCATATGCCTTCCTGGCCAAAGCAGGAGGCGTATGCACCGATCTTGGGCTCAGGATGGACCTGGCCAAAGTCGGTGCATGTGCATGGTACTTTTTCCTTTGAGAGAGGAGGGGGGTGGGGAGGAGGGAGGACGGGTGGGGAGGAGTGGGGGAGGGGGTTGCTAGGACCTTCTATCTCCCACCCACCCACCCGCCTTCTACCCCTGCCTTCTTCTCCTACCTTGTGTATTTTACTTTTGAGTCGGGCCTGTCCCCCTACGGGAGGAATATTCAAAAATAGTGAAGAAATAGTCTGGGGACTATTTTTTGTCACTATTTTTGACCATTTTCGATTTTTTTCGCCTACTTTTTATTTTTCGTCGAAAATTCCCATGTAGGGGGACAGACCCGACTCAATTTTACTTCTTACCTCTCTTTTCCGTCTCCACCCTGCCTCTACAAAATACGTCTGTGGCAAGCGCATTTACATGTACCTGGCTCGCGATCCAAATATGACGGCTGAAAGTCTGAGAACACCCGTGGCGAGGGCGTTTACATTTCCGTGGCTTGCGATGTTCCTTCAGTCGCAGCCAGCGTGAAAGATGCGAAGCAAGGCACCTTTGCATCTGTGGATTTTAGGCATCCTTGATGTGTGTCTTGCTTGCTCGGTCCAAAGGTACTTTGGCACCGTGTCGTGTTCTACGCACCTTGCATCCTAACATTCTGTGCCTATGGGCGATTTTAAACGTGCTTGCGCAAATACTCATGGGGTCCACCATTTGTGGAGGTCGGGGGCATGGCGGGAGTAAGCTGTATGAGTTTCACAACCATCTCCTATGTTTGGAGGCTTTGCTTCTCGTGTGATACCTCCGTCTCCTCACCTCCCTCCTTCATTCACCGCATGCTCAGACTAACTCACACTTGCGCTCACTCACACTCAGACTCACCCACGCTCAGACGCACTCACACTCAGACTCTCCCAAACTCCGACTCACGTACTCGTCGGGTCATCACGACGTAGCAAACTTCGCACTCGGGCGCCCAGCCTGGCGAACCCTCTCGATCCGAATTGCAGTTTGACGGTAGGCGTATCTCTTTTCATACCCCCTTGATCACCGCGATGCCGCAGGCACCGCCTTGGGGGCCTCGCAAGGTGGTCTCGACGAGGCGGGCAGCGCGGGCACGTTCTCGCCCAGGTTGGTGGAACCTCTGAGGTAATCCTTGCAGTCTCTGGATGGAGACGCGTGTCCTTTCAGAGCCCCACGACCACCGCAGTGCACCGCGCATCGCGCTCGGGCCTTCCGAGGGGGGAGCCGACCAGGTGGTTCTCGCGGCTACGCTCGCGTCCAGACTGGCCGGAGCTCTCGAGGAGTGTGGCCGTTTGATCGCCGCAGTGTGCCAGGCATCGCGCTCGGGCCGCCCAGGAGACGCGGCCCATGGTGGAACCACGGGCACGCTCACACCTCAGGTGCGCGGACCTCCAGTGCACTGGCAGTTTTGGGATGTAGCCGCGTCTGTTTGTCAGAGCCCATGCGATCGCGGCGCTGCAATCGGCATCACACTCGGGCCTCCCAGGGTGGTGCCGACCAGGCTGACCGCTCGGGCACGTTCGCGTCCAGATTGGTCTGATCTCTCGAGTAGAACCGCGTTTTTTCGAGGCAGACCCATCAGACACCCTGAGAAAAAAACATCAACTCTCATGGGCTCCAGGCTCAGCTTAAGACATCCTCAGAACAAAAAAAACACACATCAACTCTCATGGGCTCCAGGCTCAGCTTAAGAGACGGTCAGGAATCCGGACTGGACCTTGGGCGTTCTCTTGGAGCCCCGTCTCTTCGCAGAGTGTTCGCAGGTCTGTAACCGGTTTTCGGAGGTCGACGTGTCTCTGTGGCAGGCGTTGCGCTCGGGCCCCGCAGGGGGCAGCCGACCAGGGCGGCGCGCCTGGCACGTCCGCACCCCGGTTGGTTTTCCTCCTCCTCCTCCTTCTCCTCCTCCTTCTCCTCCTCCTCCTCCTCCTCCTCCTTTCTTCTCTCCTTTGCTATTTCCTCCCCCTCCTCCTCCGCCCTGCTGCCAGTCCTGCTCGCCGCCTCCTCCTCCTTCCTTCCTCCACTCCTCTCGCTGCAGGCAGCCTGCGAATCCTGATCACCAGCTGGGGGTTCAGGCATCTGACTTGCAGAAGAGGCAGGGCTCAGATGCGGTCGCTGATTGGAGCTCTGAGCCTCCCAGTGACAAGGGATGGCGCCGAGATGGCCCGACAGGGCCTCGGGAGCGACCCACAAGAGCCCCAAGGGGCCCCCTCAATGCCGTCCAGGACCCGCCCAGGAACGTACCGCCGAGAGTGGGCCCAGCTGGCTCCCCGAAGCCTCCGCCTGGAGGTGGAGGTGGACGACTACGGCGACGGCGACGGCGACGGGGATGAGTGGGCGCAGGACGGCGAGGACGACGAGGACGAGGACGGCGACGGGGACGACGAGGGCGTAGGCCCGGAGATCCGACGCCCTGGTTCTGCCGATGCAGGGCCCCCAGAAGCCCCGACCGCTCCCCCGGGGACCGCCCGCATGCCAGCCCCAGCAGCGGTTACACCATCAGTCGTCGATGCCCCGGAGAGATATGGGAACACATGGGAGGTGGGGTGGAAGACGAAACTCCAGAAGATACGAGACAAGACGGGGATCGCATCTTGGGTTTTTTGCATGCTTCTTTGTGCGTCCCTGGGCCCCCGCAGCAGCTCCCGAAGAAGGACCCCCCCCCTCCCGAGGCCCCCCCGCGGCACGGCGGGGGCCCCCCGGGGGCCGGGCGCTCGGCAGGGAGGACCCCCTGCGCGGGCGGAGGGGGTCCTGCAGTGGGGGCTGAATGCCCCCATGCACGCTCAATGTATCGCTCGTGTATGTGATCGGGTACGATTGGCATCCAATGTTGGCGGTCATGGAGGGCCAGTCGTTCGTGCCCGCGCGTTGCCCGCGCTGGCACACGCGCCGTCCGTCCATTACCGTTCATGCGTGCGGGCGTTCTCGCATATCGCGCGTGGGGCGGCGAAGTGGAGTGCAGATGTGTCTTGATTAAGCGATTGATGATCGCGTCTGTTCCCAAGCGATGGCTTGTCGACCCCTAAGACAGATTTGGGATGGGTCCCGCGATTCTCCCAACATGTGAATTCACATTTTCCTTTTTCCCACAATGTGAGTTCAAACTTTCCTCTTCCCCAACATGTGAATTCACATTCTGGTCACTTTATACAGATTCCTTCTCAAAATTCCAACATGTGAATTCACACTTTCATGACTCCAAACTGTGAATTCACATCTTCCTTTTCCCAATGTGTAAATTCACATGTTGCTAGTCCCCGTAAAGGAAATTCGCATGTCGCCCTTGCCCTCAAAACCCCCCAAGCTGAGCGCAGTCTTCTGCATGTCAGATTGGCTGGGCAGATTTCAACACCCACTTTGCCGTTTTCGTTTGTTCCAACCTTCCCTGTCTGCGCCCTCAGCGCACGTTGCCTTCGTCGCCTTTCCCCCGCCCGCCGCCTCCTTGCTTCGTTTACCGTCAAGTCTCGCGCATGGGTACAGGCGGGGAGCTTCAATTGGTTCCCCCGCCGAACACAGCAATCGAGGAGGTATCGCCCATGCGTGGCCCATAGAGACGCCATTGCCGGGACCCTGCGCCCGACCCCACACATTCGCTCTCCGTCCCTCTCTCCCTCTCTCCCGGGGCTCGCCGGATCTCTCGGGGAGGGGGCGGCGGAGCGCGCCCGACGAAGCAATGCAGCCCCAGATCCCTTCGGGCAGTGACGAATCATGGCGGGAGGTATGTTCGGCCTCGGGGGGCCCTCGCCGGGCTTCGGGACCGTGAAAAAAACGATTCGGGATGAAAGACAGGCCCCCGGGAATGAGTCGAGACTTCCCAGGGTCAGCGTTGTGACAACTCATGACGTCGGGGGGCTGTGGCCGTGGGCCGAGCCAGTCTCTACTCTCCGCCCCCTTTTCCGAGGGGTCCTGCAGCGCGGTCCTGCTTCGGGCGGGCCCACCAGCAGTGCCCGGGCCCGCGGGCTTTCGGGGAGGGGGCGCTTCGTAGGCGCACGGGCCCGGGTCCCGAACGCGGCGTGTCCGACGGCGCTTTCTGTTCGAAGCCTGGCGCTTCGGGCCCTTCTCTCCGCGCGGCGCGGCAGGCGTGCGGTCCGGAGCAGCACGCGCGTTGTGGGCGGTGTGGGTTTGCAGTGTCCCGCTGGCCGTCGTTCTCGACGATGGGACGCGCCCGATGGATGTTGTTCGAATTTAAAGCTCATATGTAAGGAAGCTTTCGCGTCGTATTCTGAGCACTACTTCGCGCTTCGCGAGCTCTACGAGGTCCCCGGCAGTAACCTGTTTGGCGGTTTACCGCCGGCTCCCAGTATATGGGATGGGGGCTTGGCAATCTCGCATTCCGCGCGCGCGAGAGTGCGATTTCATAGAGGAGATGCAGCCGAGGTTCGGCGGGTTCTCCATTCCCCGTTCTCTCCAGGTGGCATTTTCCTGCTTCGGGTGGGTCCTGCAACGCTTCCTGTCCATCAGGGAGACACGTAGCGGGTCGGGAGGCTGGGGTTGGGAGAAATGAGGAGATCATTCCCCGTAGGCGGTCGGAGGCATCGCGCACTGCATCTGGATGCTGCTGCTCATGCCCCTCATCCTCCCAACCCTTTGCGTCCGACGCGAGAATCCAGACATGCGACGTCCTGATTTTTTCAGGACGGCGTCCCCCGAAGTCCAGACCCTTTCCCCGGGGCCAGTTTTTCATCCTGAGTCGATCATTGACGGTCCTGGGGCCCGGCGAGGGCCCTCTCGGGGTCGAAACTAGCCAAAAACCGTCCGTCCTGATTTTTTTATTCGACGCCATCATGCCTGGGAGCTGCTCTCCTCGGCCATGGCCTTTCCGAGGGCGCGGGCCAGGCCGCCCTGCAGTGCCCCTTCCCGGACGGGTCCTTCTTCGCCGAGGACTCGGCGTTCATGCACGGCGCGCCGCCGACGGGGCCGGCCGGCGGCGGGGCCCCGCGACCTCTGGCCCGCTCGGCCCTGCTTCGAGCCGCCGGCCCCCCCGGGGGCCTCCCAGCCTTAAGGCGGGCCCGTGCCTCCTACAGGAGGAACAGTAAAGAATAGTCAAACATAGTCTGGGGACAATTTTTGAGTCTTTGTGGGCATCTTTTGGGCATTTTTTGTTTTTTTTATTTGTCGTCCAAAATCTCCCTGTAGGGGGACATGCCCGACTGAATCCTAGCCATGACATCCTCGCGATTCGCGGATAGCTCTTTGCTCGCAAGCTTGCCAGCTCCCCATGGCATGACACCCTCGTGTTTCCCGGATCGCGAAGCTCCTGTTTTCAAGCTTGCAAGTTCCCCGGGCCTCCCTTCCAGCGTTCTCACAGCCCGCTTCCACAGGCGTTTCTCCAAGCTTGCAAGCTTCCCAGGCATTTTTCCCAACGGCCTGGCAAGTTCCCGGATAGCTCCTTGGATTGCTATAGGCTTGTAGAATTCGAAGCCGGCGCAGCAGGGTAGTTCCGGAGCTCGTTCCGGCTTCCGTGAAGACACCACGGCGCGCCTTGCCTCAGTTTGCAGCGTGCTCCAGCAGGCCTTGTCTCAGCGTTCCCAAATGCGTCTGCCAGGAAGCTCTTTAGAAGCTCCTTCGGAATCTCCTCTCAGGAGCTTCTAGAGCTCATTCGGGAGCCCTTTGGACAGCCTCGTTGTGCTCCGCTATCCGGGTTTTGGATGTCACAAGTTGCAAAATATCACGACGTCAGGTTTTGGCTCATTCTTGGACTCCCTGGGCTCTCGCCCTGGGACTGTCGGCAACAAGACTCAGGATGAAAAGCCTGTCCAGGGGAGAAGGTCCAGAACTCTTCGGAGCCACGCTCTGAAGAACTGATGGCGTCGGACGTCTGCTCCCTGGGGCCTCCTGGTCCCCTTTCGCTGAGGCTCACCCGGCGCGTTCCACTACTCGCAAAGTGCCTACTCGCAAACGTCCGCAAAGCACACGTCTGCTTCGGTGTCATGTCTCGTAGATCCCCCCCCGCGGATCCAGGCCATTTGCGAGTAGTCAACTTGCGAGTAGTGGAATGCGCTCGTCTAGAGGCGGCTCCAAGCCCCCAGTCCCCGAGTTCCCCCCCAAAGAGCTGACCGCTTAGCGTGGGAGGGGAGCCAACCAGGGGATGCTACACCCCAGGAGGGGGCTTGCTCGGACGTGCCCCTCTATTAGACGGAACTGGACGGACGCCCCCCCATCGTATGTCCCTCCGTTTGCTGTCTGGTCGCAGGCCCAACACAGGCGAGGATTGGGATCGCCTTGACCCCCGTTTTGCCCAGGCCCCCAACGTCCTGAGAAGATCAAGGCGGAGGCTTTCCACCTTTTTCGGCGTCCACGGAAGCCGGTCTCTGGCTCCGGGGCCGTCAGCGAGCATCCCAGGATGCACAAAATTGACGGCACCTGGGAGGCCGAGGGGTCCCGGGGCCGCGCCTTGACGACACCACGGCGTCGCATGTCTGGGGCCCCGGCTTCTCATCCCGGCCGAGCCGCTCTGTGTTTCGACGGCCTTCACCACTCACCAAACCACCCCAAGCCAACCCGAAGGCCTCAATTTTCCCTCCATCTCCAGTTGGGGGGGGGTCGGGGAACGCTGAAAAAGCACATGGAACCCGTACCCCCCCCCCCCACCCGAAATTCGGGTCAGATTCGGGTCTTCGGGTTGGGCTGGGGTGGTCGGGTAGGTAGTCAGGCCTGCAGTGGGGATCGGGGGCGACCTCCCGGGCGCCGAGAGCGGGGGCCCGGGGGGGCCGGACGTCCGGCGCGGCCTCACCCCGGGGTCGCCGGGAGATCTGCGTCGGCGGCCTGCGGCTGCGCCGCGAGGGGTGCGGCCTTGTTCCTACACCAGGGGCAGGCGCGAGGCCCGAGTGCGCCGGCACTCGGGTTCGCCTAGGCTCAAGTCGGGCCTGTCCCTCTGCAGGAGGAATGTTCAAATTACCCCAGTGCGACCCTACCTAGAAGTTGGAGCCCCTAGGAAAGCAGCATTGATTTGCTATGCTATGCTATGCTATGCTATGCTATGCTATGCTAAGCTGCGCTATGCTATGCTATGCTGCGCTATGCTATGCTATGCTATGCTATGCTAAGCTATGCTATGCTATGCTATGCTATGTCATGCTGTGCTGTGCTAAGCTATGCTATGCTATGCTATGCTCAGCTGCGCTATGCTATGCTATGCTATGACATGCTATGCTATGATATGTTGTGCTATGCTATGATATGAACTGCTATGCTATGCTATGATATGCTATGCTTGGTTATGCTATGCTATGCTATGATATGCGAATGCAGCGCTGCGCTATGCTAAACTAAGCTAAGCTAAGCTGAGCTAAGCTAAGCTAAGCTAGCCCTCTAGGCAGAGCCTAGGTAGGGAATTGCACCCATGCTATGCGATGCTGTGCTCTGCTATGCTAAAGCTCAGCGAAGCTAAGATGAATGTAAGCTAAGCTAATATAAACCTGAGCTAAGATGAAGCTAAGCTAAGCGAAGATGAAGGTAAGCTAAGCTAAGATGAGATAAGCAGCGCTAAGCTAAGGGGACGTAACTGGGGGAACCGCGGGGCGGATCCTGGGGGAACGGCCCGGGGCGATTTCCACTGCCCGGCCCCTTCAAGCTCAGAGAGTAAGAACCCTTCTAGGCAGAGCTTAGGTAGGGACAAATGTCAGCAGCAAAACAAAACCCTAAGTGTAAGTAAATTCCTTGGGTTGCCGCAAATAAGGCAGCTTGCCGTCCTCACAGAAGAGGAAGACTCAGTGCATGACAAGAGCAATCAGCGACGGGCCTACGTGGCCTCTGGCCAAAGCCAGATTGACTCTGCGTTTCGCTGTTCGCAATTCACATTCCTCTTCCTCCTTCACCGTCTCGGCCTCGGGGGGAGGGAAGGGAAAGAGAGGAGGAGGAGGAGGAGGAGGAGAGGGAGAAGGAGGAGGATGAGGAGGAGGAAGAGGAGGAGTAGGAGTGGGAGGAGGAGTGAAGATGGAGGAGGGAGGAGGGAGAAAGGAGGAGGGAGGATAAAAGATAGAGAGAGAGAGAGAATGGAGGAGGGAGGAGGGAGGATGAGGAGGATAGAGAGGAGGAGGAGGAGGAGTGGAAGGAGGAGGAGGAGGAGGACAAGGAGGACAAGGAGGACAAGGAGGAGGAGGAGAATAATGAGAAGAAGAAGGAAGGGAGGAAGACGAGGAGGGGGAGGAGAAGGAGGATGAAGAAGAAGAGGAGAAGGTGGAGGTAGCCGTCGAGGACGTCGGGGCGAGATAATACGCCTAGCTCGGGACTCCCCTTGGCAAAGGCCTGCTCAGAGGAAATACAGGTAACCCCACATGAATTAAATGCGTGACCCTTGGCAACGATGATGCGAGGACATCTCAAGCAAACGCCACCCTTCCCCTCTCCCCTCCTCTCTTTTTATTAAAGGAGGGGGTGTGCCTAAGCAAGGCATTGACATGCGCATTGTGGCGTGGATATAAGCAAACCGAACCCTTTGATTCAGCATGTGTTCATCCGTGTATCTTCGATCCGTAGCCGCTTTGGCTCGAAATTCAGCAGTGCCATTCAGCTTTCGCATTTTTCAGCATCGCATTTTGCGAGCACCAGCAGCACTCCCGCATGGCTCCGAAGCGCAGGGTCTCAGCAAACAACGTTTCGTCTAAGCGCGGCAGGGTGGGCAAGGACATGGCGAAGCTGCTCGCGCAGGAAGAAAAGCTTGAGTTCCAGAACCAGATGGCGGAGCTGCAAGCTGATTTGATGAAGGACCCGTCGAAATTGAAGCAGGTCCGCACCGTCATGAAGGTCGAGCTTCCAACTGACCATCAGCCCGCCAACCACCTCAACCCAGACCTGCTTGGGAAAGTGATGGAAAAGCTCCCGCTGAAGTACCTGAAAGCATGGATCGAGGAGTCGAGCGGTTACACCAAATCGCAAATCCAAGCCATGTGCTTGAAGGACTCCAAGGCCCCCGTCAAGCTCGCCAGTCGGGCCCTGGTTCTCGACATGACCAAAGAGAGGATCTTCACGTTGGACAAAGACGTCTTGACCGCGGCGTTCAATGGCAGGCTGCAGGAGATGGGAGGTTGGCCCGCTGAAGTCGCGCCGAGTCCCTCGTTCGAGTTCGCCTGGGGCCGCCAAGGCCACTTCACCCTGTTGCCCGTCATGGACTCTGAGACCAAACTTGAAGATCATGTATACACAACTCTCAGTTTCAAGGGCGTCGAGGTGCCTGTGTTCTCGGATCTCACCATCAAAGGCACGTACGTTGTCGAAGACAACTTCAACCATTTGAAGGCTTACATCTACGACCCGTGCAAGCCTTGGAACAAGGAGCCGTGCTGGGTCTCCTTCGAGAAGGCGGCCAAAACCAACCTTGCTCCGCCACTGGAGTGGAAGGAGTCTGGGAGCAGCAGCTCCCTCGAGGGTCCATGCGAGTCTCCGCCAGCTCCTACCTCCAGCGGGAGTCCCCCATCACTGCAACCATCGGCGACACCCGATTCAAAGCTGCCGCTGACCTCGGACGATGGTATCGAGCAGGCGCTGGAGGACGCCCTGGACAAGGCGAGCGAGTCTTCTGAGCTGCGCGTGCCGTCGGAAGCAAGCACGCTTCCATCGGCGGCCCTTGCCTCCAAGGATGTTCCCCCTCAGCCCAGTGTTCCAGTCCAGCCAGCGACCCAGGGCGCCATTGTAGTATTGCCTCCTGGCGTGCGCCCTGCAACGTTTCGCTCCCAGAGGAAGGCGGCAGCCCTTCAGAAACTTTCTTCTTCAACGTAGTTTTAGGTTTTACCAAGTGCACGCTTGTATTCATGTGCCCTCGGCCCGCTGATTTGCCAAGTGCCGCGGGGAGGCAACGCGAGTCGGCAGCTGCAGTCACGCTACGGGCAATGCGGTGGTGCTTCCCGCGTGATAGGCGCACGCAGTGTCACGATCAAATGCGCAGCAGAAAAAAGATCGTAAACGCATGGGCCCCAACCAGTCGAGTAGGTTAGCAAAGCAATGGGGATGGGGACGGTGGGCCTCGTGCCGATCCCTCAAAATGAAACTCAGGACAACGCTGAGTGAGTGCAACCACTGTTTGGTACTGGGGATCCGCGCATCGAGGCCGCTGCCATAGGAGAGTCGTCAATTGGCATTGCGGGTGGCTATCTGGGATTTGACCTTGGGCCTTCTGTCCCCCCCGATCTGAGAGTAGAAAGAGCAACGAAAAGCAACAGATTACCGATAACAAACCTGCATGTCTAAAACACATGGCTATGCTATCACATGCAAACCGTACGCCCAAAACATGTTAGGCCCCGCGTGAACCTCAGAGGCACCCGTGCATTCAAGAAAACCAACCTTAAATCAGTTTATGGCTGACCCCGAAAAGAGAGACCACCAGAGGGCCCGCAAGGTTAAAGCTCCACATCTTGGCAATCTCGGTAGATCTCGCTCGTGGCAGGGTGTATTTGTAGATGACGAATTGAGCCAATGAGATACAGCCACATTAACTTCACTGTCGCGTATTCTGTCTTTCCCTCGCCAGGGTTGGCAACATCGAAGCATGCAGCCTGCCATAGCCATTTTGGTTCCTAGGGGCGTCTTTATCTTTATCAAGTTCACCTGTCTCAGGTCTAGCCCGATTGCACGTGGCATCGCATCCGCTCGCCTGCGAGGTAACAGATGGAGCCATCAGACTTCGACAAATCGCGATTGGAATTGGTATATGACTCAGATATGCAGCTCTCCGTCTTATTCGAAAAATGGAGCGAAGAGAGATTGTATCTTCCTGCTGGGATGTGGTCTTTAGACTTCGACCCCGAGAGTGGCGACGCAATGCTGATTGACCGAACTTCTGATGGACATCGGGCAATGTGGGTGGACGATGAACTTGAACATGTTGTCGTTCAGAATGAAAAGGGTGAGGTCGTTGTGCAGCGTCCTGGTGCAGACGAGCTTTGTTCCATTGATGATTACAGGTCGCAGTTTGTTGCAATGGAGGCAGGGGGTTAACAACAGCTCGAATCCATGAGCCGTTTGGGTGGTCACAAGGGCTGGTTAAGAAACTGGGGCACGATCGTTGAACTGGAGGGGAGTGGGGGAACGCGGGTTAACGTGGGTGTACAAAACGTCGGGGAGAAGATGCATGGCGGGGATGTGGGTTCATTCCTGTGTTGCTAGCGGGCAACCCTCATAACCGTGTGACCGCCCGAAACCTCGTGCGTTCGAGCTGTAACGATCTCTCAAGGCACCCGTGACCATACTTGGGAGCTCCACTCCTCTGAGGCTTAAAGTGTTCTTGCTGGGCCAATCGGTCGGGGGTGCGTACGCCATGTGGAGCTTGCCCGTCATGTACGATGCCGTCCATGCTGGCGTTTCAATTACGGCCAGCCGATGGCATCAGAATTGGTGGCGCTGGTGGGCTCAGTCTCTCGAGCGCTTGGGCCTGGAGGATGTCGAGCTCCACCTGCGCAAGGCACCGCCCACGAAGCACACTCCAGAGGAGGAGAGGCTGTCGTCATCACGATTTCTCCCAGATGCATCTGCGTCGACCTTCGCCCTCGTCCACTTGCTTGCCAGGTGGTCCAATCCGTCGAGGTCAGGGGCGAAGAAGAAGCAGGATGAACTTGACGCTTGGAAATCATTTTTCGCAGGCTTCCTTGCTAGATTTACCAACTCAGCCGTCGTAGAGTGGTCTCTATTCCTGGACGTCAATGTCATCGTGAGGCCAGGCCTGCCATTGTCGGGGTACAATAAGGTTCGTATTCCAATGCGGTTCGGCGTGGTCGATGTGCGCCCGCTATTTGATTGCGACGAGACGCCTGTCCAAGCAGCTATTTGTGGCCTTCGCTTCAGAGATGCATCTCAAGTACTCTTGCTCGATTTCCTCCTTGCGGTCGAGGCTGTCGGTGCCAAGACGAAGTGGTTGTGGAAGCAGCTGGTATTCCAAGTCGCCTGCATCATTGAGGGCGCGCTTCTCTCCGAGAGGTCTGGTCCAGAGGATCTGGGTGACGAACAGCGTCGCGGAGCCGATGGGCAGCCTGATGATGATGACGTTAACGATCCCGAAGGCCTTAACATTCTAATGTCATCTCGCTCTGACGCACTGTCATCCAGAATGGCCTCGCACCTTGACTCGAATAAGCTCAGTGTGTTCGTTGAGACAAACAAGCGCAAGAAACTCCTACAATATTTCTTCAGTACAAGGCGTGAGTTCAATAACAATATGCATATCGGCATATCCGTGGACGCTGGGCTCTTCGGCCTCAAGCACCGCATGCTCGGTTTCATCGCTAAGGCTAACGGCGCAGGGGCGTGGCTACCTCCAGTGGCACTGGGGGACTCTGAACCTAATTGGGAAACTCAGACACCTAAGTATTTTTTTCGAGGCCGACCCTAAACACCCCAAGAAAAACTTATGTGTTTGGGTTTCCGCTCGGGAACCCTGTGAAAACACAGGGATGAAACACCTAAGTAATGAAACACCTAAGTTTTTTTCAGGGTAATTTTGCGTTTCGGGGGTGGCCCAGGGGCCGCTTCCTCAGGAGTTGCCCGGGCGTAAGTAAGGAGGAGGAGGAAAGGGAGAGGAGGGGGTCTTTTTTTTCTCGGACGCGCGCCCCCTGTGCGCTGCGTAGGCCATGCCCCGCAGGTTGCTCCAGAGTTCAGTACGCCAGCGTCGGCGATGCTAGCATTCGGGGGAGAATATGACATCGTTTCAGCCAAGTTGGACTGGGCTGAGTTGGCAGAATCGTTCTTCAAACAACAAAGCGAGGATGGGAAGGCGAAGAAGCCCAAAGACCAGAGTAGACTCAAAGTTTGGCATTGGATATGTGTAACAGATCACATGCTTCACGTGTCTACTGGGCGGCGATGGGCAGATTTCTGCTTGGCGAAAGAAGAGAAAGACCGTCCTGCAGATCCATGCAAGTGGCCATCTATTTCAGTTTCCATGGATCAAGGTGGCGACGGATGGAGCGCATGCCACTTCCTGTGCTCCGAGGGTGCGAACTTGACGGTTTTCAATGACCAAAGCCATCGAGTCTGGAATGACTTCCAACTTGCGCTCCACGATGCTGGCTTTTGGCCGATGATACTTCTGACGATCGTGGTCCTCAACATGGACTCAGGCCCATGGGAATCTCAGAAATGGTACCGAGACATGCAATCAGCTTCAAAGGAGTACATCAAGGTCGCGAATACAGATTGTCCCATTTTCCAAGGTAGCCTGCATGACATTGCGAGGGAGACTGGGAAGGGGGACCTGGACGACATCAAGACTCAAGAGATCTGGGAGTCGCTGTCCGAGCTTTGTGATACTAAGTTCGAGAAGGTTGGCATGAGCAGGTGGTTCCAGTACGTCGAGTCTGTCCGCAGGTTGCTTCGCGAATGGTCGATGAGGTACGTTTTGCTTCAGTACATGAATATTCAGCTTGGGAATTTGCAAGATAAAGGTGCCAAGCTGCTAGCTTCCCAGAACATCGTCAAGTTCCAGAAAAAGGCTGACACTGAAGACATCGAGAAATCAACCACAGCTCAGGACAGGGAGGAAGTTCGGAAAGTGAGGAGCGCGTGCAAGAACACTGCGATGTTCTCAACCATCATGTTGGCTCAGAAGGATTTGTACGTCGTGAATGCGATCGTGGTCGGGGCAGGCACGCCAGTGCGCAAGTTCCACACTGACCAGAACACAGAGAATCGATCTTCGACCGAGTCGGTGGATTGGTGGTGTGCGCGTGCCTGGGACAAAGGATTGCCACCGCTTGTGGCCGTGTTTGCGAACCTCGATTCCGTCTGCGTGATGGACTCCATTGGGCTCGTTCACAACACCTCGGGCCTGAGGGACTACGGGATCGGCCTTGCCAGCGACGACCCTCGAGCTCTCTATCAGGACGACGTGATGACGAACTTCGGGGACTTCGCCCTCAGCCTCGTATGTCGACGTGCTAAGAGCGCACTGATGTCCTACGACAGCTACCCGACCAGATTCCTCTTACTAGGATTGGAAGGAGGCGAGGCATGGGTCGGCAGGGTGAAGCAGAGCTTCGACGACTACCAAACGATCAAGAATATCGGTGGCGACTGGTGGAATGCTATTCGTTGTCGGCATGCTCTCTCGAAGATGTGCAATATGCAAGTCTTTGAAGCTTTGAAGCAAGGCGAGTGGAAGTTAACCCCAGAGCTCATCGAACTAGTCCTTCGGAGGCCGCAGACGATCACTCAGACGAAGTTGGTCGAGGACGGTATGCGACAGGGCAGGGTGCAACAACAGAACCCCAACTTCAAGAAGGAAATTGCAGATGACAAAGCGTGGGAGGTCCTGATCGACAGCCACGTCGAGGACCAGAAGCACAACTTCGATAGGCTCAACTTCGAATCTCAGAACGTCCCCCGAGGACATAAGGACCTTTCGATGCACGGGATATTTCATGTACCATTTCGACGGGAGGCCGCAGTGTACAAGCAATTGCATGCGAAGATCGTTGGAGGTCGCACCGCGCCATACCACACTACGCAACCTCTTAGTGAAATCCAGACTCTCGAGGACGAAGCCCTGATCAGGTATTGCGTCGCGAACGGAAAGATTCCCCAGGCCCAGCAGTGTTGGAAAGCCAAGCTACTTGGGGAGAAGTTCCGCCGTGTTCTCATATGCAACCCGAAGGAGAACGATGGGAGTTGGTTCATTCCTTTCGGTACTTCAGGTTCTGCTATCCTTGGCCTGCAAATGATGTTGACGGAAATCAAAGAAAAAGGATTCTGGGTGATGGATTCGGAGACGGAGGACGAGTTGCCACTGCGATGGCTGGTGATGCTGGACTGGGACGATTGGTCGGCCATGCCAGTGGAGTGGAAATCGCCTTTGGCTATCTACAACGAGACTGGTCAATTCCCAGTTTCTGGCATGCTGGCTGCATTGGGAACTCCTGAGTCACTTCTACACGTCGCAGCCAAGTACGCCATGTGGGACA